CCTGGGCCGGCAGGAAGGGTCCCCCAGGGGGGGCTTTGACTTGGGGGGGGGGGGCTGTGCAGGTCCCCTGTGGGGTGCAGATTCCCTGTGGGGGTGCTTTGCCATGGGGGGGGTGCAGGTCCCCTGGGGGGGTCCTCTACCCTGGGGGGGAAGTGCAGGTCCCCTGTGGGGTCTGCCATGGGGGGGTGTAGGTCCCTTATGGGGGGTGCTCTGCGATGGGGGGGCATGCAGGTCCCCTGGGGGTGCAGACCCCCCATGGGGGTCCTCTGCCATGGAGGGGGGGTGCAGGCGTGCAGCCCCACCACAGCGGTTAAGCTGCTGGAAGGGAAATGCAGTCACACTGCCTGGCTGCCCCTGTGGGCTGGGAGCCAGACCCAGGGTGATCCCCCCCCCAAACCCCCCCAGGGGCTCTGCTGCCTTTGGAGGTGTTAAATTCTGGTTTTGGGGTGCAAAGCGGCTGTAGAACAGAGCCGTGGGGCTCTCCGCGCCCTCGCTGCCTGCGGACCGGGGTGGGTTTATTTCCCCCATCACCAGCGTTGCTAATTCAGCCCAAAAGCACGGGTGAAGCCAGGAGCTTCTGCTATCCCCTATGTTGCTCGTAAGGACCGAAGCTGGTCCGTGGACTCTTCTTCTCGCCTTCCTGGGATCCTCGAGCTGCCTCCTTCCCAGCACCGGATCGGTTACCATCCCCAAAATGCCCTCAAAACCCAGCAACCCCCATCCGGCCACAGGACAGAGGGACAAGACACCACTGTGAATTTTTGACGACATTAATTTCTCCTTTGATACCTGGTTACAGGGAGCCGAGACCCCCGGGAGGGCGAGAGCTGGGCCACATCCCGCCCCCATGAAGCCCCCCAGCCCGAGATCAAACCAGCACCGCAGACCCGGGAGATGGGGAAAAATAAAAAAGAATAGTAATTAAAACCAAATCTCATAGAAAATGATGTGCCTGCAGCAACGCACGTTATGGAAGGAGGAGGGTGGGTGGGCGGCGGGGGTGTCCCCGCATCCCCACCGTGAGGGCAGAGGGATGAAATCCCACCTCCCGGACGGCTCAGCCGGCAGCTCCCTCTTCTGCAGCTCAGGATTTCCTCCAGAAGAGCTCTTCGGCTCTCGGCGAGGGAGGATGGAGCCGAGCATGTGCATCTCGGTGCCCTGCCACCCAAAAAATGCCACCGCCCAGCCTAATGCCTCTTCCAAAAGCACCGGTGACCTCTTGGTCATCTCCTTCCTCGGCTGCATCCCGGCCACCACGTGCGTGGTTGGGGTGGTGGGAAACATCTCCACCTTGGTGGTCTCCATGAGGTGCCCCAGCTCCACGTACGCGTACGTATGACCTTCAGCACTGTGCTCGCTTACCGGTCCGGCTTTCTCCCTTCTGCCGGGGCACTCCTCTGTGGGAGGCCGGTAAGAGCTATCGAGTATGGTAATAAATAAAAGGATGGAAGTTGGCAGCAGAGCAGCTCCGATCGCTGACCTCACCCTGGCCCTTTTGCTAAATGTCTTTCTCACAGTAAAGTTTTTATCTAGGAGTTTTATTGAAAACTCGTTTATTGCCAAATCAGTCCAAAAAAAAAATTTTCCCGCAGGGAATCGGGGCTCCCACTGCAAGTCCTCTGGAAACGGCTTTTCCGGATCATTTCAGCCAAACCCTTTGAGATGAGCCGTTTGCCGAGGGCTCCCCACGGACCACCACCGTGTCCCCCATCCCGCAAAAGCGGAACGACATTTCAGCGCCTGGGAAGCAGCGAGGGGAGCTCCCCTTGGATTTCCACCAAAAAGCAAAGACATAAGGGACCCCGGCGCAGCGGGTTCCCAGTCTGAGCAACGCATGTGGGTGCTGGGGGATCCCAGCCCGTCCCCCCGCGCCGTGGCCGTCGATGCTCGTGGAGGTGAAGCGAGTGGCGTGGAGCCACCCAGGACGTTGCATTTCCCTCTCGGCCAGCGGCTGTCTCAGGTGGGGTGACCCCGCTGTGGGGCAGTGCCCTGGCCCTCCCAAATCCCAAACGCGAGGCTGTGTCAGAGGACAGCACAGGCACCCGGTGGCAACAAACACAGCCCACGTCGGACAGCAGGGATCGGTCTCTTTGGATAAAAGACATTCGCTTGCTGCTCTGCTGCAGAGCCAGACCAAGCGGATCCACCCATCGGAGCATCCAGCCCAGATCCGTATCGCGCAGACACATCGCCGTCACTGCCCCCTCCAGATCCGTCCCGAGATACACAGCATCACTCCCAGGCGTCCGGACACACTCCTGGACCCCACCACTGCGGGACTTTGATGGCAGGTCCTGCCTGGCCGTGTCCAAGACTGGAATCGGGGGAGGCAGCCAGCGTCATTTAATCAGCATCCAATTAAAATTTAATTTCAAAAACTCCCAGACCAAATGTACGCCAGCCCAGGAAGATGCTCCCTGACCCAGGTTACCTCTATAGAGGAGACAAAGCTGGACCGGCAAGACTCACACTGCTCGCTTATCTTTTCCTCCTCATCACCACATCCAGAAATTTCTCTCTCGGATCTTCTAAAACCCGGCCAAATACCACGACCAGCGCGAGGGGCTCCCCAGCCCTCCAGGAACATTTCTCTCCCTCCTCCCCGCACAGGGACCGCTGTGGCCCAGCCATCTGGTTTCCAGCCGCAGCCTGACCTCCGCTGCGGGCGCCAACTGTTTCTGAATCTGGGACAGAGATCAGCGAACTTGGCACGACTCTCCTGCGGCTGCCTGCAAAGCCACGCTTACCCGCCCCTGAAACACCCCTCTTCTGCAGGCCATAAAAGCCCAGTTGTGGTGCAAGAAAACATCTATCCCGCTTAACCTGCTGGTGCCTAACCTCCTTCCCGTCATCTTACATCCAGCTGTGAGCTCTCCAGGCAGGTTTTCTTTTATTGCGTGTCTCTAACGCAGCAGCGTCCCGGTCCCGTGTCAGGGGTTCTTGTTCTCTAGAGGGATAGAAGCACCACAATCATGCTGCGGCCAAGGCTGGGAGAGGGTCTGCAGGAGAGGTGGGAGTTGTTTGCATCAGCCAGCCAGCGAGTAGTCGTGAGATTGCAGAAGGGGGTTATAGAGATGTATAACCCCCTTCTGACCTTGTTTCAAATTAGCAAGATCAGAAAGAGAGGCAGCATCCTCTCCTCCTGCCCTCCATCCCCCACCACACCTGGAAGGATTTAATCTGTGATTATTTATTGGCAAAGCTTTGGGGTTTTAGTTTTACGCTAAGCCACACGTGAAGAAAGGCTGAAAAGGGAAGCGAGAGGGAGGGTTTAGCTAGGCATCAAACTGCAAAGCACCAACAGAAAATATCAAAAGGTTTGCTCGCGAATTAAACCCCATTCTGCCATGCCTTTTTAAAGCGCACGCTAGTGGGCAGGGGCTGTCTTTCCCCAAGCGGGCAGAGTGCCCAGGACACAGGAGCATCATCATCAATCAGAAAAGAAATTGCCGCTATGAGACCAGTGCTCCTCCTCAGAGTCTGGTTTTGTACATCCTGCAGAAAGAGGCAGAGACTGGAAAATTTAACTTGAGGAATTTCATTGACTTGCCAAGCTTCCATAAAAGAGACAGTCAATTCTCCTTGAGCTCTGTAAGATTTCCTAAGAGAAGCACTAATTTTTTATCATGTTTTCAAAAAGTTCACATAGCGCAGAAGTCCTACAGCAACCCCTCTACAGCATACTGCATCCACCAGAGCAGGCTACAGGAATCCTTCTCTCTCTTAGCTCTGTCCACATACCAAAAGGATACCAGAAATCAGGAATACTTTGCAAAAAGTATTTATTAAAGAAAAAAACAAAGCAGGATGACAGAGCACTGAAGGACTGACAGCAATGCTTGCTCCAAATCATCAAGCAAAAATTGTTCAGTCCCTGCTGCTGGCTGAAATGAGGGAGTGGGCAAAACCAGCTCCCCAGTCATTTTCTCAGTGTGTATTAGTGCATTTGATCATACTGTGAAGTTACTCAAAGAATAAAAAACATTATTGAATTGTTTCCCCCCCTTTTTAAAAAAAAAAAACAACAAAATATGCAGATATTAAAGAAATCCTAGCTTTCAGCTTTAGAAAGCGCACACCCTGACACTGAGCACTGAATGATCACCGCCAGCACTGTCCTCAGACTCGTACTGTCTTTCTCCACTTGCAAAACACTACTAATTAGAAAGAAAAACAAACAGGAAAGCAGAAATTCATCAGCATTAATGAATCTTTCTCCAACTCTCGGGGGGGGGGGGGGGGAATTATAATTTCTCTCCTGAAAACTGAGGTTTTGGAAAAATAACAGGACAAAATAAGGTAAGAAGGGAAAAAGATTAAGGCTGGTAATTAATCAGTTAAAGAATGAATGAAACAAAGTGTTCTACCTGGAAAGGAGGAGTTTTATCTGGGCAGCCCATATAAATCTGTTAAATAAATTGCATTTCCATACCTTGGCCACCGAGTTTAACTACCACAACCACAATCCCACTGCAGAGGTGCTGGTACTCAAAACAGCGTGAGCCAGTTTTGTGAGCAAATGATGCTCGATATTCATGAGAGACCAGTGTTAACACCAGGACAGCTTCATCATGCAGAACTCTTAAATAAACTGGATTTTCTTTTAACCTTACTCACTATTTGGTAATGCTACATAATTTTCAATAACAGCAATACCTTTTTTTTTTGTTGCTGCCTTTAACACTTTGCCTTTATCCTCCACCCCCATCTCCAGCTAAGCTAAGCACAGCACTACCACACTCTAATCACAAGCATATCAATTTTCCTGTGACTTCCATAAATATTTTAACAAAATGGTGG